GACGGCCTCCCGGTCCTCCGTCACCCCCCCCCGCCCCCCGCAGCAGCCCCTCTGCTCCATCCCGGCCAGTGGGAAGCAAAACCTGGCCACCCCACAGAGCTCGTGATGGCGCGTTCCTGCTTCTCCCGAAACCCAGCCAGGCTGGCGTCTTCCCTGCTGGCTCAGCCAGCTCCCATGCACAAAAGCAGCAGTTCCTGCCCCTTCACGTGCGACGTGCGACCAAGGGCTTCTCCCGTGCACGACTGCATCCCCTGGGGACCGCATCCAACCCCCAGGCTGAGGCACTCCAGCATTTCCCCTGTGCACCCCCTGCACCCCATCGCTCCTGTCCTCCAGGCAAACCCCAGGCCGACCCAGCCAGCCTTTGCACAGCTGCATCGCGGGTCTGAAAAAGGACGATGTGCTTTTTCCAGTGACTCATTCTCAGCCTTTCCTTTCTTTTTTTTTTTTGTTTTTTTTTTTTTTTTTTTTTTAAAGGCACAACCTCAGCCTTGCGCCCAGCAGAAGCCAAGCGCCTGCTCGTCGCCCCACCCAAGCACAGGGCCTGAGAACAACCTCCTCCCTCCTCCCAAAAGTCGACAGCCGAGAGCACATTGCAGACTGAAAAAGGAAGCTGCCAAACTCTTAGCACTGTTTTCATCAGCTTTCGCTTCGTCCATCAGCCCGGCCTCAGCCACATCCCCACTTCTGCACAGCTCCGTGAGCTGCTGGGAACCCCCCGCAGCCGAAGCAAAAACCACACGAGGAGCTGAGAAGGCTCCAGAACTGGTTTCAACAACTTTTCAAGTAAGTGACTTCATTTTTTCTTGCTTTCATGCATGTTTTGGGGAAAGACTTTAACAGAGGCTGCTAAAAAATGCTCCGCTGCAAAAAACTTTTCCCCTCCCCTTCTACCCACCCCTCTCACTCCCAGACAGGCACCATAACCCCCAAGCAGAGGAAGGGTAACCCCCACCCAAAATGGCATACTCCCTTTTGCCAGCTCCTCTTATTTTTGCTTTGCTGGTTGCCAGGCCCTGTCAGGAAGGTCGCAGGGCCTTGTTTATCAGGGCTATTTGCTGGTAACTCTAATAACAGAGTTTTGAACCCCACGCACTAGAACAAGTTTGCAGGTTTAGCATCTGGCTGCAAACGTGGTGTACCACAAAGCGCGGCAGTCGGAGCTGGGGGCCTGGTCCCCGTCACGTGGCTGCAGGTTTTGGCTGGTCTGTCTCCTTTGCTGAGGGAGTTTTGCGTATGGAAAACTGGGAAGATGCAGGAAGACATTAAGGGCTGCTTGTGTTTGAACTCAGTGATATCACAGTGTGACTTTAAAGGGATTGCCATGGGTTAGACACAGCAGGGAACTGAGGCCAAATTTCTGCCCCTTTTCCCCTCCGCTGCCCCACGGAGGAAGGGGGTAAAACAGGAATTGGTGGGGCAGCAGATGGACCGAAGCACAGGAGTGATTTAAAGCACAGTGCGTGAGAAAGTCTTGGACAAGAGACCATAAGGATTAAGGTGCCTTTGTCTCCTCTGCACAAATGTCCCCGTAGCCTTTTCCCTGCAGGTGGGGCTGGCCTGGGGAAGCCTTGCTCCGAGCACGCCAGGTGGGAGATGTCGGCATCGGGGCAGATTTTGGGGCAGCCCTGCTGTGGGTCAGGGCTCCCCGGGAGCCCCAGATGTGCGCCAATGCTGCCAGCACTGCGCAAGCTGCCAGAGACGGCTAGTCCGGTGCCCGGGTCCTTCCTGTCTCCAGCGAACCCCGGTGACAGCAGTTCCCCTGAGGCCAGCGGGTTTCGTCACATGGGTGAGGGCTCCCAGAGCTATCAAGGTGCTTGGGGCTTCCTGAGATGGAACCCTGTGGGGATGCAGCGCAGATGGGAAGTCAACAAAGAAATTAATTAAATGCAGCTTGCGAGTGGCATGGGGGAACAGGCATCACTGCAGAGGGCATGGATACACTCCTCAATTACTTCCCTGTCCTTCAAAAAAATCAGGGCACGTGCTTTCCTGTTTGGTCCTGAGTGCCTGCAGTCCACAGAGCCCAGCCCTGTCGGTGGGATGGGCATCCCAGTATAACCAGTATTGTACTGGGAGAAGGGGCTGGGGGAAGCCACACAGGCGAAGGGCAGTGAAGTGCGTCTCTGGCACCAAGGTGTGCAGGTCGAGGGGCCCAATTTCAGGCCAGCAGTTAAGAGGCTGAGCCAGGTCTGTGGGCCAGGACAGGGAGTATGGTTACGTCAACCAACTGTGGGAGAGGAGATCATCCTGCCACACCTAATCCTAGCAAAAGCTCCTACGTAATTACTGACCCAGCTCTATCGGCATTTGGTGTTTGTATCCTGGGTCATCAAGATAAGCTCTGCTTTCCCAGAAAGTAACTTCTCTTGCTGGTAGCAACAGGCCCTGAGCATCCCCTCACTCCTGTCTGCAGAGGCTGCTCCTGCCTGGTCCTCCCACACCGCATCTCTGCCCCCAAAACCTGATGTACCTTTGCCTATTACTAAATATTAACTCATCAGGTCTAAAGAGGGAGGTAAAAGCCACACACAGCATCTTCAAGGCAGCGCAGCACGAGCATGCACGTGCCACGTGTGCCTGGGCTAGCGTGAGTCAGTGGCAGGGCTGGGGACGCATCCCAACACCAGTGCTCCGGGCCAGTTTCCCCAATAACCCGGCATCCGCCTTCGTTGCAGGATTGGGAGATCATTGGGTGTCCGGCAGCGACGCTGACAGTAATCGCCTCTGCGGGAGGTGACTAAAGCTGAAGAGAAGGAAAGACAACGAATGTGCAAATGACAGGGGCAGAAACAGCTGTCCCATTGGTAATCTTTGCTGCAGAGATGCTTTTGGAGAGCTTAGTGGGACACTGAAATGACTGAGGTTTCACACATTGCTTAGGCTGAATCCCTCTTCGGCTCCTTTTGAAGTATCCCTGGTATCAGCAACCAGCTCCAGAGGCTGGGATGCCAGGCAGGAGGAAGGAACAGCAGTGAAGGTGGTGTGCTCCTGGAGCAGTCCCTTGCACTCCAGCCAGCCCAAGGCAATTTGACCTCGCATCGGCGTGTCCCTCAGTGCTGGGAGGTGGGTTAACACGGTCCCCCGCTGCAGTATACACCTCCTCACATCCCTGGGACGAGATGGCCGCCCTCATCGCCGAGAACTTCCGCTTCCTCTCCTTGTTCTTCAAGAGCAAAGATGTGATGATCTTCAACGGTTTGGTAGCCCTGGGCACGGTGGGCAGCGAGGAGCTCTTCTCGGTCGTTGCCTTCAACTGCCCCTGCTCCCCTGCCCGCAACTACATCTATGGACTGGCTGCCATCGGTGTCCCAGCCCTGGCTCTCTTCCTCATTGGTGTCATCTGGAACAACCACACCTGGAACCTGGTGGCCGAGTGCCACAAGCGTGGCACCAAGAACTTCTCTGCCGCCGCCACCTTCCTCCTCTTTGGCTCCATCATGGGCCGGGCAGCCGTGGCGCCCGTCACCTGGTCGGTCATCTCGCTGCTGCGTGGGGAGGCTTACATTTGTGCCCTCAGCGAGTTTGTCAGGCCGTCCTCCCTGGACAAGTTCCCAGCCGAGTATGGGGCCGAGGTGCTGGCCAGGTTCCCCTGTAAAGACGTGCCAGCAAACCTCACCAAGTTCAGGGACGAGGTGACGCGGAGGCTGAGGTATGAGTCCCAGGTAGGCACGCTGGGGAGAAAGCCACATGGAGTGGGTAAGACCACCTTGCCCTGTCCTAATGCAGCCTCTCTCTTCTCTCTCAGCTCTTTGGCTGGCTGCTCATCGGCATCGTCGCAGTCCTGGTTTTCCTCACCAAGTGCCTGAAGCACTGCTGCTCGCCGCTGAGCTACCGGCAGGAGGCTTACTGGGCCCAGTACCGCTCCAATGAGGACAAGCTCTTCCGCCGCACGGCCGAGGTCCACTCCAGAATTCTGGCGGCCAAGAACGTGAAGCACTTCTTTGGCTTTGTGGCGCTGGACAAGGAGGAGAAGGAGCTGGTGCAGGAGTTCCCGGTGGAGGGTGTCCAGCCGAGCCCCCAGTGGAACGCCATCACGGGCGTCTACATCTACCGAGAGAACAAGGGCTTCCCCCTCTACAGCCGGCTCCACAAATGGGCCAAAGGGGTGGAAGGGAACGGGCCAAGCCCAGAAGGCCATGAAATGCTCTTTTTGGCTTCCTAAGACAGATGGGCGCTGGGAGCGGTTCCCCAGACCGCCTGGCAGACCTATCAGTATCGGTGCGCAGCTGAGGGATTCACTGGGAATATTCCTCCCAGCAGGATCACTTTTCTCAGCGGGTAAGTAGGGATCAACAGCCTCAAGGTAGAGGCTGATAAGCAACACACTGAGCTGGGGAACTCCTCCCTCGGAAACAACCATCTTGTTGCTGCTCCTGGAGAGACGAGGGGAGCAAACAGCAGACACACACCTTACCTCCAGGCTGCCGGTGCACCCTTGCTGTCTAATGCAGCACCAGCAGAAACCTCGGGGAGCAAGAGGTGGGCACGACGTTTCTATCCATGACTCCTGCAGGCCCACCTGTCTCCCCCATGGCAGGGTTAGCCCCAGCCATCCCACACACCTACTTGTTTTATCGACATGAGTATCTTCTTCTGCAGTTGTGCAGTGCCTGTTATGCAGGCAGGTCCTGGAGCACTTTACGGGCTTCAGAGCGCAGGGAAAAAGAGGGAAGCAGTAGGTAAATTCCTGTGGCAAGGGGGATGCAATGGCACCTGGGAAGGAATGGGTCAGTAATATAGCAGCACACTGAATAACTGAGAGACTAAGGCAGGAAGAATCACCAATATTCGTGGTATTCAGAAAGACACTCTGTAATTACCAAGTTGGAATTTGGGTAGGACACCAAACTCCCTTTGTTCTTAGTGAAGTGCCTGGCAATCTCTAATGAGCCCAAACGGTCGCAACCATGAGTTTATAAACCTGGAAGATGGCACCATCAGCAGAATAGCTTTCGGGCGAGGTGGCGAGGTGGAGGCTCAGAGGAAGCAGTTCCTACAGTAAGCCATACCACTGTCTGCAGCTCATTGCATTTCTCATCCAACCATTGGATGAGAGTCCCGCTTGTTTGGGTTGCGAGTTGCAGCAAGACCTTGACCAGAATTAGTTTTACATATATGTATATAGACACACATATATATAGTGTATATACTATACAATTACAGTTAGTTATCTGTATTAATGGAGCATCTTTCTTCTAGGGAAAGGGGACGAGAAACTTGCCAGCCAAAAGACCACATTACATGCACCCATCTGCTGCACTGGGACTGCAGCCCTGCAGTGATGAGGGACAGTAGGAACTGGATGGGGAGGGCAGCCCTCTCCCTACCCTTCTACCACTGAGCTTCCTTAAACCCTTTCCACTGCCTTAAATGGTCCCTGCAGCAGATGGTCTCTTTACAGATTGAACTGTACTCTGACAAAGCAAAGCCAGAGAGGTGTAAATTAGTGCCCTCACCATGACACTGTGCTGACTATGGCTTCAAGGCTGCTCTTCTGGCACTGCACAGTCCCTTTTCTCCTGAGGGTCAGCCCTACGTACCCAACGCTGTTTCAAGAGTTGGCAGGACAATGGAGTTTGTTTTTCCTACTTGTACTGTTTCTTTATAGGTACAACTTCCTTTTACACTGTGCCGTTTACTGAAAAGTCTTAAATTGTTCAAAAAATGACTCAAACCCACAGAACTCAAAGGGGCTTACACACAAGGAGATTTGAAATAAATTATTAAATGAGAGTTATTTTTCATTGCCTTCTGAGTTTTTTCAGGGGGGCGCAAAAGGCGTATTTTAACATTCTCTTTGAGCCCAACGACTGGGAACTTATCTTTTCTTTCTGTTAAACTTTCAGATCCTCTCCTGTCCAGATGACCCCAGGATGCGAAGTTTTAAAGTATTACCACATATTACAAGATAGCAACACTGATTTTTAGTTATTCTAACAATGAGTAGCACAGATCTTGTACATCACGATACACAATTGCAGCAAAGGAAAGAAAACGTATTTAGAAACCTTTTTACAAATATGTCCCCTTGCGAGAAAGAGCTGGAGGGTATTCCCTCGCATAAAGAAGCAGGAACACCGCTTAATGGGCGAGGCATCCCAGGATCCCTGTTCAGCTTCTCTATAGGTTTGCCTTGCATTTGTGGGAAGGCTTGGCTCCCAGCCTCACCATCAACTAATCTGCAGGAACGATCAGATGCAAATTAAATGAAATTCATTAACTTCAGATGAAAGAGAGTTATTTGCATTTCTTCTCCTTGGCCCTCGGGTGCAAACATGCAGACACGCATGCCACCCCCGCACGCAGGTCAGCAGATGCAAGGTAACTTGCTGAAACAAAGCAGCATGAGCATATGCTTGTTCCTCTTACTTCCTTTACCTTCCTTGCCTCCCTCCTTGATAGTCCTAGTTGCTCCTTTGAACCACCTCCACTCCAGTTCCTTCTCCTCTCCTTCCCTCCTTTGAAGGAAAGGGGCAAGACATGTAATGCTGGGGAATGGATTTGTTTATCCTAAGAATAAACCATGGGCACAAACCAGCTTTTGCTCTGTTTAGCTCCCTTCTCTTCTCCATTAACCTGAGCCACTTTCCATGTGCTGGGATGTGCTAGGGACTTGTCCAGCTTGTCCGTTTTCCCTCCCTCTTGTTGGAGAGGCATGTTTGAGTGGACAGCTGACAGCAAGGAGTGGAGCAAGCCACCGCACTCAGAAATACTTGTTTGCTGTTGTAGGGATTTTTTGCCTCCCCTCCTCTGCAGCCCTGAGCGTGGCCCCAGCTGAGACAGCCCTGGGCTTCTGGCCCTTGTAGCCCATCAGCACCCTCACGAACATCCCTGCTGACCCCATCACTCATCCTTCCCCAGTGACAATGCTGAGGTGAGGGATGTTAACCCACATGGCTTCTTATTATCAGCGCAAGGAAGCAGGCTAGGCTTCTCACCGAAACGCCAAGAGGGAAATTGAGCTGCCTGTCTTCCTGGCGTGCTGGAT